GGGGGCTCGCAGGGTCCCAGCGTGGCGGGGGCTGGCAGGGCCCTCTGTGGGTCACCCAGAGCAGGGGGCACAGCACCGCGGCCAGGCGGGGCTGAACATCTGCAGAGAAGGAGACTCCGCAAAAGGTGACTTCTAACAACCAGCCCCGTGGAGGAGCCGAGCTGTCCGCGCTGGGTGGCTGTTGCTCCCCCCAGCACACCAGGAGTCGGGGACCGGGATCACGGCGGAGCTGGAGCCCGGCTCCTGGCGGGGACGGACGCGCCTGGGCTGAGGCCGGAGCTCGGGGCCGTTCTTCTCCCCCCTCCCCGAGCTGCTGGGAGAGTCAGGAGAGTGCAGAGAAGAATTTCTGTGCAATAGTCCCCTCCTTTAGGGGCTGTGAGATTTTCACAGCGTTCGTATCTCGGGATGCGTGAATGGGTGTTTTGCTTTGTGGAACGCGAGCGCACGCTGCTGTTGGTACGGGGCTGCTCAGCGGCCGTCCCCGGCTTCTCGCAGCGCGGCCGCGCAGGAGCACAAAGCCAAAGGGGCCTGGTCGCCGCCCCTTCGCCCCCGGGCGCTGGCAGTCGGGCAGCTGCTAGAAGAAGCGTCACTGTGCCAGTGCAACTGTGCCTGCAGTCATCGGAGATGCAAGCGGTGCGTCCTGCTGGTGCTGGGACAGAGCACAATCTCCTTGGAAAATGCTCTTCTTAACGAGCTGAGGCTAATTAACTTGGCTGTAACGACCAGGCTGGCTTCGTTTCATCACCAGAGGCAGAGCCCATGTCCAGTCCTTGACCACGCCGGTGGGTTCTGGTGTCTGCCCTTTTCTCCTCCTCGTGCGCTGCCGCCCGGTCGAGCGCCGGCGCGGGGGTTTCATCTGGTCGGGTTCTGGGCTGTCCCTGTCCTGGGCGGATCGCACAGCCCGTGTTGGCTCTTCGTTTTCTGCGTGTCCCAGCCGAGCTTTGCTTTATGTGCAGTTTGGAGCTCGGTTTGATGTTCCTGCAGTTCCTGTAGAACTGCTTTGCCTCTCGAACCTCAGACTTCCTTTAGTCAGCGCATTTTTGTCTTTTTGTGTACTCTCTGCTTATTTCGGTATTGACTTCTGAAACAATTTGGTTAATTTGGGGCCTTTCTTGCCAAGTCTTTTCTCTTTGTTCTGTTCACAAATTCCAGGTCGTTTGTTTGTTTGTTTTTGATAACCCTCACAAAAATAATTTTCAGGTGGCCTCTGCGCTCGTGTCCGTGGTTCCTGGGTCCTGGCAGTGCCTTGCCTGAGTTCCCTGGGTTCATTCAGACGTAACTGTTTCAAATCAGGAAGCTTGGAACCGAGATCTGTTTCTGTTCAGTTCTTTGAAGCAGACGGGTTCCAGATCACTTGTCTTTTCCGTAGCTAACTTTAATCTGGGCTTAGTAACCTCCAAACCAGCAGCACTCCTGGTTTCTCTGGGGAAGGCTGGAGGAAGGTATTTGGTTGTGGCACCCCCAGCTCTCCGCACTCCGCCGCCGTTGGCAGCGTTCGCTCCCGCCCGTGGGAGGCACAGCAGTCAGAGCTCGGCGGGGGGCTCCCTCCGGACCGCGCTGCAGCAAGCGGCCCGCCCTGCGCGGCAGAGCTGCCCTGGGCTTCCTCCGCAGCGGTTTCGTTTCGCCCAGGCTGCCCTGTCATGTTTCTTTGCTGTTGCTCTGTTCGTCTCCGTTCACCCGCTGTCATCTTGGTCTCTCTCTTCGTCCTTTGGACTCTCCAGCTCCAAGGTCGTTCTTTTGTCGTTTCTGGGATGGCTAGAACGTCTCGCTGCTGTGTTCTCCCCTCGTACGCCTGCCTCCAGTGAGACGCAGATACCTGATCTGTTTCTTGCTGCTCAGACCCTCGTTAGGAGGCTGCACAAGTCTCTGCCGTCAGTGTTAGTCTCCTGCCGATCGTTTTCCTTCCCACTTGCTGCCACTCCTTCATTGTCACTTGCTCTTTCTTTCTTCCTCCTGCGTACTGAAACCAGGCGCCCAGGGAATGCGTCTTTCCCAGCCTTCTCTCCTGGCTGAATATAAAGCTGCTCAGCATTTTTCCAGCAGGCCAGTGTTCCCCGTGCGCAGGGGAGCCCGTCCACTGGGGAGGATGCTTTTACTGGGAGTGTTTCTGGGACTTAAAACCCTTCATCTCTTCCGTGTCCTTGAACCACGTTGGGTTTTGTTACCGTTTCGTGACTTGCTGTGTCTCCGAGGGCTGGAAGGGTCCTTCTGACTGGCGCTTGAAGTGTTCCCGTGCGCGTCCTCCTCCGTGCTGGTCTGCTCACCCAGCGGGTGTTCTTGTGAGCATCTCTGTGTCATCTCCCTCTGGGAGTGGGGTCAGGGGGTTCTTCCAGACCTAACCTGCCCGTTCTTAGACCCGATCTTAGCAGCAGCATCCTGTCCTCTGGATCTGCTCTGGTTAAAGGCATGGTGACGTCTGAAAATGGAGTCTGATGTTAGTGGGAGCTGCAAACCCTGAATCTTGATGCTGTTCCTCTGTTTGCAGATCACCTCCTCTCGCAGCCTGGACTCTCCCACGTGTTTGTCCTTGTAGCGTCTCCTCCCCGCCCGGGGACTTCGTTCTGTTGTGTGTACGGCCCTGAACTGTGCTCGTGATCTCGGTGCTCGGCCGCTCCGTGTGACGGGGTCGCTGCGTGTCGTTCTCCTGCTGTCTCTGCCCGTCACACGCAGAAGTTTGCGCTGAGCCGTTGGAGGCTCGGGGTGGGAGGACTTGGAGCAAAAGGTGCGGATTGTTTTGTGTATGTTTTTATCTCCTTGTCTGTCCCACCGTTGTGGAGAACTCCACTTTTTTGGCTGTCCCCCATGCAGGCGAGCTGTGCTCTGCTGGATGGGTAACGCTTGCAGTGACGGCCTCTCCTGGAGCTGGAAAGTGCTTTTTTTAGGTGCCTACTGCCCAGGTTTTCAAGATGAGGATCGTGAACTTGGTGTTTCTTCGGTGGAAGTCTGTGCGCCGGGGTTTGGCGTGCTCGTCTTTGCAGTGCCAGTTACTGCACGCCTGGCTGTGAAAGGCGGGGAAGGGGGCAGACGGCGGAGGTCTGGTTCCTACACACCTGTGTAAGAAATGCTTTTCTAGGCAAAGCTGATCCGGTTTTCCGCCTCTCGGAGCTGGCTTTTGGCATAGGCAGGGTCGACCATGGTCAGGGCTGGCAGCACAGCTCTAGTCAGAGGTCACCACTGATTTGTCCCTACCCGAGTGCGGTGCTGCTGCCCTGGGAGAGCAGGACGGCCGCAAGGATTCGCCGGCGGGGCCTGGATCGCACCCGAGCGGTAAGACCTGCGGTGCCGCGGGCAGACCTCCAAGGGGCAGGGGCAGGGACGGCTCCTTCCTCAGGTCTCCCTGGCCGGGTAGTTTCCATTTGATACCAGCTCTCCTCGAGCCCCTCTGCCTCTCTGCCGCTGCCTTTTCCTGAGCTGTGGGCAAACCTGATTTACTGTTAATGAGCAAAACAAAGAAACTTCCTGCCCTTTGCAGACATATGTCTTCCAGTGAAGAGCTCCTGGCTGCCACTCTTCAAAACACTTCTCTTTTGATCATGATCGCATCTCTTGCCTGGATTCCGCTTCCGTAACCTGAACGGATTGGGCAAGCCTGGCAGAAATGCCGTGCTGAGCTGTGGCAGCGCGTTGCCTGTCTGCCACTGGCACCGAGTTACGGTGTTGGGCAGTCCCCTGAGAAGCTGCGTGTAGGCGCTGGGGGAGAGCTGGTCCTGGTGGAGCCCCACGCGCGAAGCACCGGGTGATGGGAGTGCGCCGTGCTGCTGGTCGGGTGCGTTTCCTTTCTCCTTGCAGGTTAGTCTTCCTCAGTGACGGACAGTGGGGTGAGTGCATTCCACTGCCCCCCTCGATCGTGTTTAATGCTCCAGGTGGGTCAAGGGGGACAAGAATGTCCCTGCTGGTGGGAGGAGATGGTCTGTCAGTACCATCAGAGTGGTTTCACCCCGTACTGGCCCCGACCCATGCTTTGTCCAGCCTAATTTATTTGCTTTAGTGAGGTTGGCTTGGAGGTGGCCTCTGAGTAGCTTCTCCGCAGCCACGCTCAAGGAGAGAGACGATGCTGGGCAGTAGATTTCCAGAGCGAAGATATTTCTTCGGTGTTTGTAGGGCTGGTGCAGCCGGAGCGCCAGCCGCTGTGGGACCAGCGCGTGTTCTCGGAGCTGTATCGTGTGAGGAGTGAGCCGCCGCGTGGCGCGGCGTCGCCTGGCACGGTGAGGAGCTGCTGGGTGGCAGCCTCGGCACCTCCTGTTGCCTGGCGGGGCGAGGCGTTCTCTGGTCCCGAGCTGTGTCCACAAGCAAGCGCATCGCATGACCTGAGTGGGCCCAGGTCAGCCGACGTCCCGCGTGTGCGTTGGACGAGCAATGTCCCGTGTAGAGCTGCAGCGCGTCGCTGGGTGTTCAGGTCCTGTGCGGCTGGTGCTTTCCATACCTGATTCGTGCCTTGTTTGAAGCAGACCAACTTGGTTCCAAGACTGAGAAGTCTCTTTTCCCTTACTAGGAAGAAGATCTCTTAAACGATGTTTGCAGGGAAGTAGTCGAGAAGTGGTCTGAATCTCAGATTGTTGACGCCAAAGAGAACAAAGAAGGTAGTGTGGCTGCTGGGGGTGCCTTCCTCGTGGTGTGAGTGGTGTGCAGGGCCTTACCCTGTGTTGTGTTTGTCCTGTTAGGAGTTAAACCCAACATTGCTGATGTGTTTGCAGATCTGACTTGCTTCTCATTGCCATTGCTGCTCACTTACTGTTTTGTCTTGAAATATGAAATGAGGATGAGCACTTTCACTGCTGGCTGTCCCGAGCTTTCATCTGCTCCCTGGGTTCGTAATCCTGCAGATGAAAAGCTCATTGTTTGGCTGGTTTGGGGTTTTTTGTTTTTTTTTTTTTTCTTTTTTTGCCCCTGTAGGATTTTTTTCAGTTTCCTTTCACAAAACACGTAGGGCTCTCCCTCCATTCAACGCTAACAGCGTGGCGAGGGCAGCGAGCGCTCTGACGGTGGGCGCAGTTCTGACGGGATGGGGTGCCTGCGCTACTTCAGCTTCCGCTGGCTTGGAAAGCAGGAGGTTTTACACACCTCCGGCCGCGCCTGCGGGGAGCTGTGCTGTCCCTGCTGCTGCCGCTCCCCCCAGGACGCATCCGGGAGGCATCCTTATTTTCCTCTTTCAAAGTCTTCTCTTAAAACTGTCTTTTTTTCCATAAATGCTTGTAAGGGGGAGCTCTGTGAGGCTGCTGCTGCTGTGCTAATGCTGCTCCTTCCCCAGTCCTGTGTGTGGTGCCACCGTCTCTTTGTACCCTCTCCGAATTCACCCCCCGCCTTCAGCTGTCGGCTCGGGAGCAAAGACCTCCGTCTCGTTCTTGCTGGCCGGGGGAGGTTTGTTGCGGCCGTTGAGCCGAGCGCTGGAGTACAGCGAAGTCGGACGCTGGAAAGATTTTGCTGGTTTAAGCGTGCTGCATGGATCAGTTTGTCACCTTCCAGCTGCACAGTGCGACATCCCTTTTGGCTAAATCCTGCTTTTTGTTGGATTTGCATTTTTTTTTTTTTGTTGGTTCTGGTTGCAAACAGAACATTGTCCCTGACTGGTGTCATTCTAGAAATAGTTCTCCCAGCGAGCCCCTATCGCGAGGCCTGGTTTACGTAGCGCTTTTCTTGTCTAAACCTCGGC